GTTTCGGTGTAATTTGTTTAGTGAAAGTATTTAAAAATGAATGAGGGATACAGTGAAAATAATGAATTCTGTAATTATCGATCCCCACTCTCAACACGGTATGCGTCGAAGGAAATGCAGTACAACTTTAGTGACATGAAGAAATTCTCTACTTGGCGCAAGCTGTGGGTTTACCTCGCTAAAGCACAGAAGGTACCGTTCTAAATTCATTAATGTTTCTTCTTTAGGCGATCGTGTGATTCATAAGGTAACTGATTCTAATTGGTCACACAAATTTTGTTTATTCTTGGAGGCTTAAAAGTGATTACATGTGTTGAACTTGTCGAATGTATTTTTTGAGTATGAACGTTGTGATCTGCCGTGAGGTTATGGCTGTATGATTATGTAGTAATTATGATTCAGATACATTTTACTTGAAATGGGAATTTACTTCTAAATAACACAATAAATGCACATTGACTGCCAATAAATATCAACTTGATTTATTAATTTGAGTGATTTTAAGCTATACCAAAGAAATCAGAAATGTTGAAGTGATTGGTTACTTCATTATTTGTATGCAGATCCATGGAAATATACAGGCCCACTTAATATGGCACTTACCTTCTGTTAGGAAATTACAAAATAATTTCTTAAGGGAGGAAACAATTATCCCCTAAAGGTCTGTAAATTGCAATTGTGAGGTAAAGAATTATAAACAAGATTGAAAATGTTTTTTTAGTAAGTTTATTTAAAATTCATTTATATAAGTTGAAGACAGTATGACCTAAGTTTTAAGTCACATAGTTGTTCCATTCATGATATGGCAGATTTTTTGACAGGATTCAGGTTGGACGCATGAGCTGTACAGGCTGGAAAGGACTAAGAAATTTTAATTTGTTTTAATTGGGTGTTTTTCGTGAAAACCTGCTTGTATTTCTGCACATGTGTTGAATGTTAATATTTATTGCAGCTAATAATGTTTCAAACAAAAGTTAGACAGAAATTAAACACATTTTGTGCCAATGCCCTTCTTCTTACAGTTTTTGAGACAATTAAACAGGATTTTTATGTTATGAACACATAACTTAGGATCTGTCCTTGCTCATTTGCCCCGCCTGTTTGTAGGAGAGTATCGAAAGTCGGCATTTACAAGATGAAAATCTAGAGATAATAATGAAGTGAACACACTAGAATTGTTATTCTGAGTGTGAATTTTCTAATTTGTTCAGTGTGGTATTAGTTACTGTGTTTGTGGGTAGCCTAATGTTTTTCATACTGAAAACTTAATTATTTTCCCCACCAAAAATTAGTGTCAATTACAAATGAAAATCATAAATCTGTCAGTAGAGAAAATTTTTGAAAGGGAGTAACAGCTAAACATGGGTGTATCGGCATCATCCATCCACACTGATTAGATTAAAAATTTAAGAACATAAATTTATGTGATTAGTATTGAATTTATTGAAAAGATAGGTGAGTTCTCTACCTTCACAAAATTACCACATCTTTAGTTGTACATGTGGCACTTTGAATCGGTAGTTTCATGTAACTGTGTTAAACATTCAAACATCGCTGTTGGCTTTCTGACTTCAAACAAAGTCGCCCAGGTTTTGAATCAGGTGTGCTGCAGTGAAGACAGATGGGTTCTTACATTCCACCACCCTCTGTTGTTTTCTTGCCATTTGTAGCAGTGATATTTGATACATAGTTGTTAAATAACAGAACAGTGATGATGAAGTGGTAAGCCTAGAAATAGAAAGATACTTGTTAGCTGTATCACACTTGTATTATTTTCTGTGTATTCTAATTCTTTGTATATATAGTAAAGTTGTGTGTTATTAATAATTTTTGTTGTTGTATGTGGTATTATGTTGTTCAGTTGTTTGGAAATGAAGATCCTAAATCATTGTTCTTATTGCACACTTTGATTTGGAATACAGTGTTCTCATTTAATAATCATATTTACTATGCAACACCTAGAGTTCAATAAACATTAGTTTAATTGAATTTCAAATGGTGTATATGTACTTGTGTTTTACGAGAAAGACATGAAAGCGTTTTAGGTCCTGTATGCAAATTCTTATTCTTAATTTGTATCGCAGTTGTAATTAAAACACCAGTCATATACCATTTTCATAATCATCGATGTATGTAAGGGCAGCGTCCATCAGGAATAAGAAAGCAGTGATGATGGTAAAGGCGGCAGTTGTGAATTCCAATGTCTTCTGTGTATCTTTATCCTTGGTATGATGTGAAAGAGCAGTCTTTGTTCCATGGAAATATATCTGCACGCTTCCAGCAGCGATGAACAGAATGAACCCTGCTGTCATGTACAGCATGTCCTGTTGATAGAAGAGTTGCGTCTGTTACGTCACGTTTCCTCAGTGTTGGAGCCGAGTGGTTAGAACTTTTGTGCTGTATTTGGGAGGTGGGTCCCTGCTTCTTAAAATGATGGTCCAGAAATTGGCTAACCTGACTGAGGGTTTTCTTCGTTTTCATTTATCCCTCCAGACAGATGCTTGGATAGTACTTTAAATTAGGACACCACCATTTCCTTCCACATACCTTTCATACCATCAGAGAAACACACCATCTTCATCTTCAGGGCTGAATACAGCGGCAGTATGTTTTGCCAAAACTTTGGTATGTACATACAAGTCTATACAGCATCACAACCTAGAATAACCACGTCATCTCGTGTGTTGTTCTATGGAAGGGATAATTCTCAAGTCTCGGCAGGTGTCAATATTGGTCAGATCTGTAACCATCAGTGCTAACTGAGATCTCAGTCGGTGTCAGTGATTTACCATCCCTATTATAAAACCTATGTAGAAGTTGAGTTAAATACCCACCACTTTTCTTGGAACTCTGTCGTTGATGATGAGGCCTATCATAAGCCCCATAATGACAATGATGTAGCCGCCAAGAACTACTGGATTGAGAAACTGCATTATTTTTCTGCTTTCTGTTGTTACTGGTGCATTTATATAGAGACCCATTACTATACAAACTAACACCTGCAAAAGAAACACTGCTGTTATTGTGAAAGTCACGGAGAAGTGGGGAAACATTGTTCATCTGTGTCTCATGATATTATGGAAAAGAGGATTTATGTCAATGACGTCACTCTTCAGGAGAAGGAGAATGTTTGAGACATCTATGCAGTTGTGTACTTTACTCAGACATCTATATTTTGTTCCTGAATCAAGTATTGTGCCCTACTGATATAACTTGCATCACTATTAAAACAGATAAGAAGTAAATATATCAAGAAATAAAATTTGAGTTAAAATTACTTTTCAGTGCATTCATTACAGACTTAACAGAATGTATATATATTTTGTCTGATGTGAAGATTTTATAACCTGGCATGTTTTATTCAGGCTAACCTAACCTAATGCTTGACTCTTAAGAATGCTATAAATTCTACATTTTGAAACTTTGAAAATCTTCAGTTTCCAGAGATTTTTAGATAGTTCTGCAAATTTTACATATTTTCAAAATTTCTTTGAATTTTAAAATTTTCGAAAATTATTAACTTTGACAGACATTTAGCCAATATTGGTAATATTTGTAATTCTTCAAAATTCTGAAATGTTAGAGTTTATAATTTTGGAAATTTTACAAAAAAATTTCTTTTATGAACTGATTAACTCTTCTCCTATATTAAATTACCCCCTCCACTCTTCACTTATACTCGGGATGGCGTAAGAAGCTATGACGACAAGGCGTCGCGAAATTTATCGTTGAAGTGTCGTGTAAAGGCGACAAAAAGTGTAGATGAAACTCGCCATGAAATTTGACACGGCGTTTTATGTGCAGCAGTGAGTAAACTTCGGATGTCATTGAAAAGGACTTTGAAAACCTAAACCTGGCATCGCGAAGACAGTCGTTGCCACGCCGCCAGGCCCTGAAGAGGAGGTTTCAAAATCGATGCCCTCTCCTGACGCCAATCGTCCTGACGCGGACAAGAGACGACTTATATACTTCAGGTGAGCCTCGGAATGACAATTGTAACGACGTCGGAAAACCGTCTCCAGGCATCGTGACAAGACTCGTAACGACGACGCCACAGGCTATTTTTATCATTGATGACCCTCCGCATATCCTTGAACAAGACGTGCCGAAACGGACGCCGAGCGTCGCGAGTTCAATCTCCGTACGAGGCCAAAAGACGCTAAATTTCCAAATGGGAGCGTGCACCGTCACATACCCACTGGACGCAATATATGCTGCGGTTGAGCCTCCAGATCACATTTCAGGTGAAATCTGTAAAACGACGCCGGGCGTCGCGACGCCAATTTTTGCGTCTTATGTACCTGAAGGCCATATTTATCACTGACGAAACTCTGTGGGGCCTTTTAGAGGACGTTTGAGAACCGACGTCCGGCGTCGCGACGCCGAGCGTCGTTACAACCACTGGACGCAATATATGCTGCGGGTGAGACTCCAGATCACATTCAAGGTGAAATCAGGAAAACGACGCCGGGCGTCGCGACACCAATTTTTGCGTCGATATACCTGAAGGCCATATTTATCATTGGCGGAACACTGTGGTGTCTTTTAAAGGACGTTTGAGAACCGACGCCGAGCGTCGCGAATCGTTGCGACTGGACGCAATATTAACAAACGACCGGCGTAGAGCCATCGTGAACGCCGTGCTAAAACGACGCTGTTAGCGACGACGTCCTCGTTCGTGACAACAGACGCCGCATATGTCATAGGTGAGCGCCGCGAACTCAGTGCACACGACGTAACAAAATGACGCCGAGAGTTGCATAGCAGAACTCAGAGACGCGAGCTTTGAAATGAAACCACCCTAACCTAACCTAACCCAACCTAACCTGTCCCAACCCAAGCAAACTTAACGTAACCCAACTTCACCTGACATAACCTAATCTAACCCAACCCAACATAACCTAATCCAACCTAACCCAACTTCACCTTACATAACCTATTGTAACCTAACCTAACCCAACCTAACCTAACCCAACTTAGCCTAACCCAATCTAACCTAACTCAACCAACCTTGCCTTTCCTGAGCTAACCTAAACTTGCGCAGGCTTATGCGACTCGAATGAAGCCTATGAGTGTTGAATTTTGAAAAATTTCGATCATTTCATTTTAATGCAGTTTTGCCAGTTGTGTTGATTTTTGAAATGTTTCTAAACATTAAAAATTTAATAAACATTTTATGTTAGGTTTTTGACAGTTTTTGTAAGATTTTGTGCGTTTTAGAATTTTTGAAAATTTGTGAAATTTTGAATATTTTAATAATTTTCGAAAAAATTATTTTACTGATATTTTATTTTTTGAAATTTAAAAAAAATATTCGAAATATTATTTTATGTAATTGCCAATTTTGGAAATTTCTTAATTTTATCAAAATTTGTTAACATTTGAAATTGTTTATGAATTTTGAGATTTTTCGAAATCTCTATATTTTAGAGATTATTTGTTAGATTTGAATGTTTTTGTGATTTTTCCAAATCTGGAGAATTTTGAAATTTTGAAAATATTTGGATTTGAAAAGTTTTCAAATTTGTATATGTTGGCTATATTTTGACTATTTTTAAATGTTTTGAAGTTATTATTTATGTTAATGATTTTTGAGAGTTTGAAATATTTTCGAATTTTCAAAATTTTCGATATTTTTTATAATTTAGAAATCGTTGCCAGTTTGGGAATTATTTGAATTTTTCAAAATTTTATGAAATTTTTGATATTTGATTTTTTTTAAATTTTGAAGCTTTGAAGATGTTTAATTTCGGAAGTTTTCGCTGTTGCTTGATGGCTGGTGATGACTGGATATTGGTAAAATAATTGAAGTGGACGTTATTTTGTAAATGTACCTTTGTAGCAATTGTTTTCAACATTTCACATGTAACTTATTGTCAGTATTATTTGTCATCAAGTATTATAACATTGTGATGGAATCAGTTAAGATAAGTGTTGAACATGTAGCTCAGTAGTGGAGAAATGAAATGTGTATAAAATATTTGTTAGAAACCTGATAATGGCGGAATTGAACACCCGTGAAACGTCAGCGTACATTTTCCAGACGACACGTCGAAACATCACAAAACACCAGACCTGAGGTTTTCACAGCTCTGAGTCTGAAGATGATTGTCTTCTGTGTTGTTGTGCCCGCCGTTGTGATGGAGGCAGCGAGGGCCTCTGAAACGTCGGTGAACGTCTACCAGACTACGCGGCGCAACAACGCACAAGACAGCCATTTTCATCCCAAAAGAAATCTTTACGACTGTTTTCACTTAACTATTCGTAATTTGCTTTTTTTAACTACATGAAGTCGAAGAAAGTTTCACTGCTTTGTTGACACCCACCAGTTCGATAATCTTGGTTGTTAGTCTCAAGTTAGTTAGCAGATTCCTTGACATTTGGCACAGATCACACGCGTTCAGAACCAAGTGGATGCAATGCGCGTAGTTAGTGACTCGAAGTTTGCACTCGGGGAGTTAAAATAAAATTCAGTAACGAATTATTGTTTCTTCTTTTCTGTCGCGGGTTCTTCAACTCACTGAGCTTCCAAATCCACTTCAACAAGTCTCATTTCCTCTTGCTGTTCTCTTTCCGGTTACTAATTCTTATCATCTCTTAATCACGTTTTAACGTCGAAGGTTTGTCTCCGGGAACATCAACAACGGCGTAGCGTGGAACTTGATCCGAAGACCCAGACAGACGTGTTCATTGGTAGACAACGAATACGTCAAATTAGAAAATAAAATAAGCGATCTTTTAGAAATCTTATTTACTAATTGTTAGTTTACACAAATGTAAATTGCTAAATTGACATGGTTGCCAAGTGTACATATTTTGACACATTAAATTTCATACAAAATGAGAGAAGTTTCATTACTCCGTGGAGCGAAATTGTGAAATATTATATGAATTTTTGGTTTTACTGTATTAAATTCTGAGCTAAAATTTTAGAGCAGGGGTTCACAAACTTTTCGAGACCTTTTCGTATCGACTCCCTGATTGTGAATTTGTAAACGCCATGGAAATTTATTAAAATGTAGGTCATCTGTTGCCAAACGTCACAAAAAACTCGATAATTTTCATCAGAAATATCAGCAATTAGCGAGATACTGCATTTATTTGAGCTGTCTTCAGTGCCAGTTTAATTTATGTTGTTTGGGTTCGCATTCATCCATCTTTGTTCTTGATTTGACGTTTTTCTTCAATAAGCTGAACAGTTAAGCGACAAGAGACAGCCAATTTAACAAAACATTTTCTGGTATCACGTGAATTTATTATCGCACGGGGCGATACAGTAAAAAAAAATATACGAAGGCCGCACAGAATACAGTGGGCCCCGGTTTTAAGAGTGTTCATAGAGACGATAGAGTTGTATAAACGCTCCAGCCAATATCTAAGAAATAAAACAGTGAATTTATAATGCAGAGAATGCCAGATGCGAGTAAGAAGGCGCCTTGTCTGTCAAGTGTTTTACTGCTGTCCTCATCGTCGTGTGTTTCAATGTCGTCTCTGGTGGAATAGTTGTCCAGCTGAAGTTTGTATGTTACTAAATAGAAACTGTAGCCGTCTAAGGCGACCACTCCTGCTACAAGGAAGAGGATTCCAGCCAAAGTGTTGAAAATTCGGACCTGCGAGAAAAGAAACGAATTAGTCTTTAATTTTTGCTTTTGGATGTTATTAAGGATATTATTGAAAAAACAATGGCTTAACAGAACTGTGTGGACCAAGGATGGCAAGTTTGACACCGACTGAAGGTTGTCGCTTTCTAAGAGAACCAGGTAGAAGCCAAAAACTAAACTAGATAATTCATTCAGCAACAGGAAGTATCTCATTGAAGTCCAGTGGATAAACAAGTAGACTGGCGCCAGTTGTTATTGGTTAAGTAACTTTTGATGTAAATTTGGCACCAGGTAGCGAAAGAGTTTGCCGTTCATGATGTGAACACTCCAGATAAGTATGAGAAGCCTATGTAGAAGGAATCTATTGCAATGTAGGTTCGGGAGTTACGTATTTCCTACGCTCGTGTATAGTTTCTGGGAAATGTAGTTATGACGTCTGAAGACATTGGTAATACCTTCGTTAAGCGTATAAGGAAATGTTCGCACTCTGATAAATACTTGATGAAATTCTCGCAGAAACGCATGAAGATGTTCATACTTTTGTTGGACTTCAAACTAAATTGGAATGTGTTGACAAATTTCCCCAATAAAAAATAATTACGACAATTCGTTCAGGAGTCCTCGAGTTGTTACAGGCGGAGGGACACAGACAGACATGGCGAAGGTGATAGGCTATTTTTTTTTTTTAATTTTCGTTGCGAGTTAGGTAAAACAAAAGCCCGTAGAACTGATTAACGGCGTATGATGGTATACTTACTATAAGTTCAGGCATTCTGTGTCCCGTGACGTAGCTGAACGCTATGACGGGTGTGATGATGAGGTATATGGAACAGACGATGTAGGGGAACAGTTGCGTTGTGATGTTGTTCGGTATCCTGTTGAGCCCTTCGGAATACAGACCAATGCAAACTACTGAGGTGATCTGTCGCGAAATGAAAAGGTCAGATATTGAGTGATTTGTCATAAAGGGCAGGGTATTTAAGTTATTTTGTATCTTCGAAACTGCTTTACTGTGTGTAATTTTTGGAAAAAAGGCACGTAATTGTATATATTTTCAGTACCAATTCAGCAATCTTGAAGTTCAGGTATTATAATAATGTCGGTGTACAGAAAGTGATTTGTACCAACCATTTGCATGAGCTTGAAGATGAAGGGAGCTGGCAGGGTATAATGTGTAGGCGTTATATCATCCTGCTGCGTGTCGTCTAATTGTAGGACGTAGCTGTTCTCTGCCCATGAGACATTATTCCGGGTTGTCGAACGTGGTGGAGAATTGCCATCAGGGTCGGTGCTGCAATTGAACATACCAGAGAGATTATGACTTAAGTCCGTGAGAATCTGACAGTCTCTAAGACTCATTTTAATATTACCATGTCTTCGTCTTCTGGGTTTTAACCAAAATGTGAAGTGTCCTTTTCGTTGCATCCGATAAATTTTGTCAAACGTAACTTTGTACTTTAACTGAAGTGGCCAAACTGCGTGGTAGACTGTACGTAAGCTCGTATTTGAAATGTACCGAAACATGACACATATATTATTTATAAGCCCATGCTAATTTCGGTTTGTTACTGAAATTCTTCATTTTGGATTACACGTTTATTTTTCGTATGTAACCCCGCTTTGTTACCTGTAAGATTTCAAATGAAGTAATGGTAATTTTGGTTTCTGCTGATGCTTTTGTTCTTGCGGTGTTGATGGCAAGGTTGCCATGCCGACGTAAACGCTGGTTCCAGACACTGGGTACTTAATGTAGTTCTCACAAGCAGGGGACGTTCTGTAGTCACACATCCTTGAGGAAACACGGCAACTTCAGCTTCCTTCGTAACTCCGTCCATCCCAGTGATTTCCGGTGATATCAGCTTGGATAAAGCTCTATGTACTTCCTCTGTTTACTGCACGGGACTTCCTGATTCGGCTTATGATAGAAAGATAGGACTGAAAATTAGAATTGAAAATCAAGACAAGCGACCTCGGGACGTTATACTAAATGCACGCAAACCGACGCCAACACAAAACGCCGTAGAAAGCGGAGATGAGCGAAGAGATGCCATCAAAAACGACGATGGAAAACGGACGCCGACCCATTGAAGCCAAGAGGAGTCCAGTGACGCCGTGCGACATGATCCTTGCAAAACGACGCCGAGCGTCGCGACGTCTGTCATCGTGATCCCGACGCCAAATGTGGAATTTGGCGTCGGGGAGCCAAGGGAAGCCACAAGACACGATCTTAGATAATCGACGCCGAACATCGCGACGCCTGTCTTCACGGTTCGAGTCCCGGTGAAGATGTTGAGTTTAGGAATGATAATTTTTACTGTGATATTCAACTATGCGTATAGAAAGATCATGCATAATAAAAAATTTTGATAATGGTCGTGTAACTTTCGGTTTTAACATCCTTTATTGTAAAACTTATTAACACAGGCTGAAATTGGAACTATAAATTGTTTCAAGTGATTTTATTTCAACGTGCATTGTACATTGTAATTTTATTTTATTTTCTAAGGTTTAAGCAACTACTGTGATTATGAGTTATGGTGATGACAAAGTGAAATGATTTTTTAAGGTTTAAGCAACTACTGTGATTGTGAGTTATGGTGATGACAAAGTGAAATGTACGCTGACAGCTACGTCAGTGAGGTACAGCATTGAGTTAACGAGGCAGAGGGCACCCGTTGTCAGCAAGAACACGGCTGCTGTCTGCTTATCGGCGTCCTCTTCTTTTCCTTTCATGTCGTGTTTGAATTTGCGCCAGTTTTGAAGAGCAACAGTTCCAGCCACCAGGAACAGAATCCCGGCCAGAGTATTAAATATTCGGATCTGTAAGACAAAGCACACGCCTCTTAATGGGGCCCGAGGGTTCGCTACAATTTGGTTGTATTTCACGTTCCCATGGCGTCGAGAAATGAAGACAGGTATCTTCAGTACAACTCGTTTATCATCATGGATTTATTTGGAAACTATATGGAATGGCGTTGTTTAAAATGTTTAGTGAGATTGTAACTCGGAGTGCATTGAATGAACGCGTAGGTTAATTTCTGAATTGCAACAGGTCAGGGGGTCAGCTCCGTAAAAGTTGGAGAAGAAGAATAAGAATAATATACTTAACGTAAAGAAGCCATACCGGTAGACGGTCTAAAGTAAAATGTAAAAATTTCCCAGCAAACCCCCTTTTGTAAAGTATTCCTACTTATTTAAGACGTGGGTGGATACTTACCAGAATTTCGGGCATTCTGTGACCCAGTACATAGCTTATGAGAATGACGGGTGTTATGATCATGTAGGCTGAGCAGACGAAGTATGGTAACATTTGCTCGGTAGTGGAAGATGTGACACCGTTCACACCTTTGGAGTACGACCCCGTGCAAACTATGGTACTAATCTGCCACAAGAATCCGAGTATCAGACACAGGTAAATCCATTTAGTATCGAGGTTAATACGTGGATGTTGATGTTGCCACGCTGACATAACGGCGAGAGGGATGTTTTTCCAGAGTTTCCTCTAGCACCTGTCTTCCCATCACCCCCTGCTCTCGTATCTCATCCCCCTTTCGCTGTCATGTCAACTTGGCGACATTGGCATAACATTTTACTGTTTGATAATATAAAGTGTATGGCGCCGTAAAAAAATTAAAACAGTTTACAACTCCCCTCCCCATATTTTGCCATATAACAAGTTCTCCTCTGGCCTAAGTTCTGGAACGTTCTATGTGTAGCCTACCAGCTGTGTCAGCTTGAAGATGTACGATGACGTGCGGACATGGTTGTACGCCGGGGAAATATTATGTTGGTTTACCAACTGCAACACGCTCTGACGTTTTTCCATCCATGAGATGTTACCCTTCGGCGTAGGACAAGGGGAAGGACCTTCAGTATCTGTGCTGAAAGAAATTTTTGCAGTAATTGTATTGTACTGAATGAGCCGACGTCGGGGATTCATTCAGTAATGCACCAACACTTAATTTTTATGAACGCTCAAGTAATATACTTGAAAAATTAATAATTGAAACTACACGGAAAAGAAAGTTAAGTGAATAAGCTAAGAAATGTATGCATTTCGTAAAAATTCCGGTGCGTTCGACAGAATCTGGCCGTTGATATTTACGAACGGCGCCTGTGACGTCAGAGACGGGGGATTCCCCACGTGGTTGCGTAGACTGCTGTCTGGCTGGCTGAGGTTTCCGTGTCGGGTACAGTGACCGTTATTTTTGTCCGATTTTAACAAAATTTTGTAATGTTTCGGCGAAATTTTAAACTTTCAAATTATAAAATTTCGTAAATATCTGTTTCTTTATTCTATACTGTTACGTTGCAGACATGGCAGATTTATTTCCAACTTAAAAGTTGCGAACACCCCTGAAATTGATAAGAATCAGATACGTGTAGATAAGATACGTTATCTTTATTAAACGAATCCATTAAAAAGCGAGTTATGTCACTAAAGGACAATTCTTTCCATTAAGTTGTGCAATATAATGCATTATTGCATAGTTAGTGAACCCTCTTTTCAATGGCATAGCAAATATAGCGTATAATGGTTTATATGGGATAAGGGTTGAGGCATGAACGTGGTCAGTCACCTCCATTCAGTGCCGAGATTAAGAATATATGGGGCCACACCTCTGCTCCCCTATACGTCTTAATTGCGGGATGCTTTTGCACACGAACAATTTGAACTTTTTATGTTAGACTTGGGGGGGGGGTCTACGGTGATCCATATTGGCTACTTACGACCGTATAAAATCATGACGGTTATCGACGTTTCGGAACAATTTACCGGCTTCTTCGGGGTACACTTTAGCACTTCGATATACTAGGAATAATTTTCAACGAATCTCATTGTGTGGATCCACATGAAAACCTCAAGTTATGTTATATGTATTTTCTAACTTAACTACAGAGAGTCGAAGTTTGGTGGCATTACCTGAACGATTTCAAGTGGAGCAATGGTGTTCTGGGTTTCTGTTTTCTGGTGTTTTCCAGAGGGGCAGTTGGCTGTGAAGACATGATGACGTAACTCACTTGCTGAACAGCTAACTCCGCAACTGCTCGAAACGAAATGCCGTCTGTAGCTACCACAAACTCGACTTCCTTCCCCCCAGTTATCTTACCTAGGATATACCGACATCTGGACGCTGCTGTGAGGATTTGTTTACCTTTTCGACCGACGGCAGTGAAATCTCCTCGGATGATCAGCCTTTTAAGTATGAACGTCTGGTCCCACGTTTTGGAACCATGGTTCCGAAACGTCGGATTGTAACTTCATAATTACACTGTTGACCGTCCTCGAAGACTTAATTGCATTCAGTCGCTGCGAAAGCTTCCAATCTTACGTGGAGAAATTGGTGAAACTGATTTTTTTCTTAAATTTACCGAACCGGCCATGTTTCTGGAGTCTGTAGATTGTGGCTTAGCTGTTTGCTTTAACGGTTCATTCTATTACGAAAGCCTGAAATCTTTCGTAGTTACTTCTCTGAGTGAAATCTGAGTAATGTGGGTCTGTCTTGCCAACCGGGAATGTGTCTGGATTTATCAGTGCCATTCATTCTGCTTTCTTGTTCTCCATAAATATTTTTGGACTCAGAAACATAATTCTCTGGTTTATTATTCTCGTTCGTATTTATACCAATGACGCGTATTTATAAATAGTTTACTTTTTCCTTCGCAGCGTATTTTACCAATGACAGGTAAGGCTTTTGCTGAGTAATAATTGTCCATATTGCCCAAGTATTCCTTCAGTAAGGGTCCTCGATTTTCCTTCGCAGCGAATTTAACCAATGACAGGTAAGGCCTTTGCTGAGTAATAATTGTCCATATTGTCCAAGTATTCCTTCAGTAAGGGTCCTCGAGTTTTACTACCTGTTCGTTGTTCAGAAATGCAACGAAATTAAACTACAATCACGGATTAAGCGGGTGGGTGGTTTTCTCAGTCAGTATAGTGAATAATTATGGGCTGGACGACCGGGGTTCGATTCCCGGTATAGGCACAGACTCTCCTCTTCGTCACTACCTCGAGACTGGTTGTGAATTCTGCGCAGCCTCGTGTAGAATGAGTACAACTGTATTTTTCTGGGGGATAAGGAGGCTGGATCGTGAAACTGTACCCACATTGCCATGCGACTTCATGTTGTGGCGTGGTATTAATCCAAGTTTTTCCAATACTCTTCACTAAATTCTCCCCAAATTTTTGTCACTGAATTTCATCATTAATGATCTGTTTTCGTGGTTAGTCGCGCATAATAGAAAACGTTGCTGCTAAGAAAGGAAACATTTAATTTATTCTTGTGTACTAAATGTCTTTTATTGGTGTATTAGATATTAAAATACAATAATTTACAATAAATATATATTAGCCTATATGCACATTGAAACAGATTCATAGCTTACACATATGATGACTAATTCAGTTACAAAACACATAAATGCAGAATTATTTACTACTTTATTTGCAGGGCAGGGTATATTTATGTCACCATAGTAACTAAAAATAAAGGGAAGTGACGTGGAACTGTGTTTCATGTACAGATCACGTACCATAGCTTCTTGAAAAAATAAGAGTTTTTTACAAACAAAATCAGGTTTAATCCTGTAGTAAGAAAAGAGACCCTTATCGTGCAATATAAACGTCATCTCTTTTATAATCAGCGTACTTTGTATTTACAAAACCATATGAGGTGAATTACAAAAATAAGTTCAGTTTAGTGTATTTGTTACTCAAATCAGATCTCAGGAATCTGTTTTACCTTTCAACATGGCTTTCTCCTCTCCACCTACGTACCCAACTCTGGGATTATATGGGAAACTGTCATGTAATCGTATGATAAATCCCTGTTCCCCCGGTCAGTTTTCGATTTACTGCTACTGCCCCCCCCCCAAAAAAAAAGGTTTGTTTTTCTTTCTTTCTTTCTTTTTTTTTCTTTCTTTCTTTCTGATGCGTCAGAAGCCGGACTGAGCCAAGTGAGATGAACCTCACGGGTGCTGGACAGTCTTAGCTACTTTGACGGCGAGAATAATCTTCAAAGGTAGAATTCTTAACAACAAAACAGTCTAAAACGTCCGATTCTTACTAAAATCGGTGATGGAGACTAATTGAGACATGCACTGCGAACAGTAAATGAATAGTTGCGATAGTAGACTTACATGGCACAGTTCCGTGCTTATGGAGGAAATGCTTCCAGACCACAGAGTGAAAAGTAACTCACTTTTGGAATGCACCTCGTGTTTTATTTCTTATAATTTCACACTTATCGTTTCTTAAACGAAAATTGGCAGAGACATTGCACTTTTCTGAAGAATATTTTTTGTGCAGTTCTGAAATAATCGCTATTTCGTTCGTACGTCAGCAATTTATTTGTAATTTTTTGTTGTTGGTTCTATCTCGAAAATGTCACCTCATGTTCTTACGATGTTCAACCGAATGCAATTGTGAGACATAAATCGACCAGGAAAATGGAAGCGTTGATGATACCGAGGATTCCCGAGGCTATCATCATGTTCATGTATTTCTTGGGGTGTCCCATGTGTTTCGCTCCGTCCCACAGATGCCTCCAATCATCGATGATGATAGATCCCGCCGCCAGAAATAGGGCGAGCCCCACCAACGAGAACAGCGCACACTGTAACACGAAAATTAACAGCGATCTGTCTCAATGTTACTTTTTGACTACCCCTATACTTTTTCTACCGTTCTGTAAATACGACTTTTCACTGAAAGAAAATTCTTCGTATTTCTGAGGACTTGGGTTCAAATCTTAAGCTGTTTCAATTGGGTTTTTCCTCATTTCCTCCGGTTAAACACTAGAGTAGTACTTTAAAACACTCTACGACCCCTTCCGCGTTCTTTCCAATTTATCATCCACAAATTAATCTTCACTAAACACTACACCAAACGTCACCGCCGAATTCATAACACTCCTCCTTCCTGATTTGTGGTTTTAATGACACGTTGACGATGAATAAATCCGAAAGACAATTCAAAATGTTTTTTGAGGACTGACTTTTCTCGCGAGGCCCTAAAGTCTGCAGTTCATTATAAGTACCTGATCAGACTCCTAAGCAAAAATAATTGCCAATTCAGTCGTTTTAATGAAAGAAAGTTTAATCCTCCGAAACCACATTTGCTCCCTCGGTTATCCGACGTTTCGTGTCGGAACGTTCCATGGCGTGACCTTGACTCAAAGAAAAAGGAAGGAGGCTCGGAAACAAATACCCAGTATTAATTTCCTTAAAAAATCTTTCATTTAAAAATTTTACATTATTTGAATACTGTTTGTGTTTCTGAGATTTTTGATTTGAATCAGTATTGAATTTTTCGCAATTTAATTATATTGTAAATTGAGTTGATATTTATTTTCATCTTTTTCGATAGCCTTTCATATTTTCCGACATTTTCGATTATCCGATCGCCCTTAGATCCCCTTTAGGTCAGATAATCGGGACTCTGTTGTACTTCTTCGTGTGCTTACCATAACTTTCGGCATTCGCTCAGAATGCAGCTGTCCTAGGATGACGATGACGTTGACGAAGATAAATCCCGCGTATGCGACGCTCACAAGGCTGATATGGTGTGCGTTTGACTGCATCTTGTGGTTTATGGGATCCACGATCAGACCCGTACAGACGATAGCTAGACTCAGCTCCAATAACTTCAAGGTGACTTGAATGCGTCTGACAAATATCTTCTTGTCTTCAGACATCTGAGGATATATTATATTATTAGCTCAGTGCCTTCACGTGATGGAGTTTAAGAGAAGGTGGAATTTGAGCAATGCTTGTTACCGTTTGTATTCTTGTCTGTTACGCAAAGTACGCAAAAATATAATTTTACATATTTTGTATGGGTGTGAAACCTGGTTTTTCGCGTTATGGTAAAAACATGTATTGGTGGTTTAGATTACTGAGTTTCTAGACTTTGCCCACCGTCTGTTATTCTAAAGATACATGAAACTTTATTTCTGTTTTGTATTTGTTCTCAAATACTTATGTTTCAGAAATATTTTAAATGTAGTTTTGTCTGTATTTACTTTTAGACTAATTTAATAAACTTACATTTTGTTTTTTTTCACTTTTAGTACTCTGTACCTTCCTATACAACGAAGTGTACTATTTACTCACTTATGTAGCGATTTCCAAACGATTCAGATGAACGAGTTCTGCTTCCGGCTTAGCTGATAACCAACTGATATTATTAGTAATTTTATGCACCTACTATTTATATGTTCTCTGCAAAGTGTGTACACAGATTGTGTTTTGAACAGGAGCTAAACAATGCTTCGGGCGTGTTAATTGAAGTCTGGCTCTTGCATATAAGGAACTGAATGGAATATTTGACCTTACGTTACGTGTTTACCAGTCGGTGCTAAATGTTCTAAGTAAGTGTGTTATGCCTGCGTTAAAACAAAGGAAGAAGCATAATTTTTAAGAAAACGATAATTTTATTTGGTAGTGTTATTCGTTGAAACTTTCCACCAACTTTCAGGCAAATGCTTACATCAGTAATATTGGTATAACTTGTAGGATTTGAGGTTTTTCAAATTTTAAGATTGCTGTATTTTTGGGTTGTTGTATCGTGTATTTCCACCAACGTTTCAGAGATCATACTGCCCTGATGACGGAGCTGCTGTTCATAAGAACGACAGTCTTTTTGAAGAAACAGCATTCAGTTCCATTCATTCGTTATTTAAAAAAGAGTTGTTCCGATAAAGCATATTTGTATTATCAAGGTTTGTGTGTTATTATCACCCTGGATAAGATTAACTTACCTTTTTCAGCTAATTACAAAGAAGGTTGTTGTATTTTTGTGTTAAATGCTGTTTTTAAAAAAGTCTGCTGATATATTTAATCAAATAAATATTGTTAATATTTATTAACTCTTTGAAACCAAAGCTCATCTAAATCGCTACCACAAAGAAATAATTTCCTTTAATTTGTTATTCTTGAAGCGCATATAACTGTGAAATTATAGGCTAATGATTTTCCGAAATAATATTATTTATTGCAGCACCAATAAAAGTTACAGTTCTATTGATTCCTAATGGACACACATTTCCACAGAAATTTGTACATGTACATTAGAGTAATAATTACCGTGTGCATCTTAGAAAAAGTGACTGATTTATCATGAGACCAGTGGCTTTGAAATCTAAGGTCAGCAGACAATTTGCTGATGCATAAAAATTAACCGTAAATCGCTTGCTGGCTCAGAGCAGTGTGCAGTCATTCTTCAGGCAGTGTTCCTGTACATGACTGAAGAGTTGGAGCATTCAGTGTTCAGTTAGTGCTTGGAGAACAATATAGCGTATTTCTTTTGATGAGGCATTAAATTTCAAACATTATGTAAGATTAATTTTGACGTCCTTTGATCAGTTGACTGGACGTTTCATGCAGGGCAGTGCTGTGGCCAACAGAGCTAATAAGTCTTTGAATTCTTTAGCTGAAGTTTTTGGCGAAGAAGTGACGAGTCAGTGATTGTAACCTGACTTCTCACCTAATTTAAATACTTGTAACCATTGTTTATGGGGCATGCTAAAAGATAAATTATAAGTGAAAAATCCTCATTCATAACGAGAACCAAAAGAATATTTGGCAGGAAATTTCTTTTATTCTAAAAGAAAAGTTTTTTGTGTGTTTAGAAATGTTTTTTGCAAAATGCGAGACTTGCTTCGAGCCTCAACTTTCAACTGTGTTAGGTCATACTGAAAAATAAAAATGGGTAGTGGATAACTGATTTCTCCTACTCTGCTGTGTGGGAAGCTTGTCATAAAACCCTACAGAACCTGGTTTCATGATAAATTTAAGACCCTTTATAAACACAGTGCATGATTCAAACTTACATTCTGCCATGTCTGGTTTAGTACGTTACATTTAGTTATGCTCACTTTTAACACTTCTTTTATTAAAAATGCTTCTTATTTTTTCTTTTAGGTTCAAAACCTGTTTATTCCACTACATTTTTTCATAGTGGATCCTAGAGCAATTAAAATTACACCCCCAGTAGTTTGCTAGCCTGACTATTGGTGGGTTTTGTGTTGGAGTTTTCCTTCTTCTGTGCTATTTGAAATTCTAGGTTTCTGTTAATTTTGATCTTGAAGTATTTGTATTCTGTTTTTTTTTTTTTACGAATTTCATACTAAAGTATTTGTATACGGTAAGGCGATTCTAAACACTCCATGCACATTTAAAAATATCCGCGCCCTATGGGCTGTAGAAAAGATGTTGATGGGTTAACTTGTGCTTGATTTTGAACCGCAAAGAACGGTTTTCGAGTAATTTATGTCCTTCATAAAAAAGTGTACAAAATACTTTTCTTGGAATCAGAACATTCTGTATGTTAGTTGATATCTAATTTATCTTTTAAGCTCTCATTAAGGAATTTCTTGACTAGCTGAATGTTAGTTTCTTAAGAAGTTTTCTGGTGCATGGAGCCAATTAGTGAAAGTTTCTGAGAACTTTCACATTTATACTCAAAATGTGACAAATTTCCTTCAGACTCTTTATACATTGATAAATAAGCATTTTCCAGTCAGAATTTCCTACTTCGTAAATCTCGGTCATCGTGTGTGACCATTCTAACTCTTTTTTGGGTTCCTGTTGGTCATGATTTATAAGTCTTTAGCTGGAATTTGTGGATGTGATGCGAGATGAAGATGACTTTTGTTGTGTGACATTGGCGGTCTGTTGTTTATTTGTCTTTGCTGAAGTGTAAGAAGCTGAGGACAGTGTCCAGGAGGTATGTAGCACCGGTCAGCACGCAGAGACTTCCTACAGCTAAACCAACTTCTCGCTCTGAGTTGAAGGTTGTAAACTTGTGTTCGCTCTGGTATCCGTGCCAGTAGTGGAGGGCCGTTCCTCCTACAGCAATCCACATGAAGCAGCCCACAACGTTCATGATGATCTCCTGAAATGCGTGTCAAATAATTCAGCACATGACATCTCCATGCTTGAAGAAATGAGACATCAAGAGGTGGATGTGGAATGATTTTGCATCTCACGTACATTGGATGAACCCTGTGCTTTGATATCCTAGAGCAGTGGTATTCAACCTGGGGTAAGTGTACCCCCGGGGGTACGCGAAGACATCTTAGGGGGTACGTAAAAGTATAATTATATTATTTTATGATAAACACTGAATAATCAGTAATGGAATTTATTTTATTTAATTTAGATTTAGATTATATACTATTTATAACTTGAATTATACACCAACAACTTTTGGGGTACAAAGTTGAAGAGAAATTATATCTGGGGGTACGCGAACAAAAGAGGTTGAATACTACTGTCCTAGATGATTATTTTGTCTTCTAGCATTGTCATTAAACTGATACATGTTCTTGGCCGTTTTCCTTCAATTGGAAATTCGGAGTAGATCTTTTCAGTGAGCACAACAAATTATGTTTTATTCTTTTGCCTGATGATGGTAGCAGAGCCATCGTCCAAAACGTTGTATTTGTAGCTAAATAAAAGACGGGACGAAAGAAAATTCTGAAGGACGTAAATCATTTTGGGAAAAGTAGCAGACAAAAAGTTTTAGAAACTTACCACAAGTGATTTCTTTTGTTCTGTCGTGCCAAAACAGAAAGAGATAAGGAATACTAATGTGTATATGAAGAATCCAACGATGACCCCAGAAGCAACAATTTCAGCATCGGGATTTTTCTCTTCATTGAGGTTCCATGTGCCACCAACTCCAAGGAATCTTCCATCGTAACCCACTCTGTAGAGAATCAGGACTATAATATTAAGTACCTGCAAAAAAAAAGATTTTTAGCAAGATGAGAAAATGACCTAAATAAATACAGTTTTATGTTTTTTATGATGATGGCAAGTTTGAAGTTTTTGTGTTTGAGTCTAAATTGTGCTATCTTCCTTATAATTCAAAGAAGCGATGGAAGTAGGAATATATTAAAATGGTAATTATATAGAATGGGTGAAGATGAATAACATATAGAGGAAAGAATGAAAGGAATAAGGAAATTTTTGAGGCACGTACGGGCATTTAGTTACTAAATATGTGAAGACACGACTAGTATCAATTGAAATTCGTGTTGAAGCAGAGATAAAGTTGTCCATATGTTTAACTACGCACCACAACATTAAGATGTGTCGGGGAGTGGAGGTATGCCTCCGTGGATTTCTAAACCGGGCACTAGTAGATTTTTTTAAAATCCGCAATATTGTTCGACTTGTACTAAAACGTTTTCCTGCCAAATCATATTTAATGAGCGATAAACAGGATGCAATGGTTTGTGAGTCATTAGCAGTTTCCATGGATTATTTCTGAGTTTGTCCTTTATTTCATTACTAGAGGCTAAGTGATTCTTGCGTTTTAATGGTGTTATCATATCTATGTTTGTACGCGTTATCACATGTTTTTACGACTGTGACCAAGTTAAGTGACGCATCGTGCAACCATCTCGTATCGTTGTTGTGAAACTTATAGATCAACCTATGAAGATACTCTAGCATTATGTATGACCCGTCAGCTGAGAAGACATGAACTTTTTTGTGTCGAAACATTTTATTATATCATCATCTTTGCTAATCGTATTTAAAGTGCAGAATTTATTAAGTACCACGATAGTATGGCCAGTCAAATGTGAAAACATCTTCAGGGCGAGTTAAGCCAGATTTATACCAAACGCACCAACACAAAACCGACCGTCTAACCCCAGACTACAGACTCCTGATAAACGCATACTCCGCCAGAACCCACCATAGACGCCACCGTTGCATTCCTTGCTACCAGAGTCACCACCGTCGGAATTAATTTACAGTTTTTCCCCCACGTCTCACGAACGGCGCTGTCATACATCCGGTCGTGGCGGATGTTGGCTGTTATGTAAGGAGCAGATTTTCCCGTCTTCGCGCAGGTCTGTCAAGAAGTTTCTTCGCTTCAGGTTTACCACTTAAATTTTGTATGCATTTTTTTTATCTCCCATGCGTGCTACATTCCCCACCATTCCACCTTTCTTGATTTTATCCGATTAAATTTGTCGACACATCCGAAAACGTTAACAAATTATTGTGACGCTTAACATACAGAGCGCCACTGCTTGTAAGACTGGTGTTTTATTGAATTTTATCTTTTCTGATCGATACAGATAAGCTATCATGTGATTAAAAAGCCACGTTCACTATTTTAATGGACTTTGTTCGGTAAATTTCAGCCTTTATTTGAGGGATGTTAAACTCGTCCTTTTTTGGGGTCACTTACAAAAGAGGCGACTATTCCGAGGGCCGTGACGTGGGTGGGGAAAAACCATAACAGTCATTTCTTTAGTCTAATTCCAGGCTTAAGCTTCAGACATTTTTTGTTTTTCTGTTTTCTCACAAGCTCACGCAAATATGGATTTAATTCAAACACGTTCCCCACTTTATTTGACTGAAATGTAAAGTAGCTGTATGAAATGCGTCTTAGACTTAAAAGTCTATTAAAATTGGATTTTTTTTTTTTGGGGGGGGGGGGTTAATTCGAGAACTGAGTCGGGCTTCATAAAGCATCGATGAATTCTGAATGCACGTCGCAGAAAACCGATGCCGACAGATTATTCCTGTAATTGAACGTTCAAGAAGTATTTAATCCGAAGTGAAAGTTTAAAATAAATCAACCTTTGTCGCGAATTAATACCGAGTATGGATTTGTTTGTATATTTAATTTATTTATTACTCACAAGCTTCAAAACTTTTATGAAGATGGTCGCTATCGTCGTAAAATCCGCCATTGTTGACTGACGCACTTGTCACTCGACTTCCAAATTTTAATACACTTCGAGTAGATAACGCTTCACTTGTATGAACACAAACGTAAGATTTCCACCAACAGTTTTAACAAAACGAAAGTTTTTCTGACTGAGAACACGTAGAACCTCAGTCTAGTGCGGTCTGTAACCCATCTATCAGGCTTGACTTTCAGCTTATCTCGTGACGCATTTTTAAGGTGTAGTCACCGTATCTTGTAATTAACCAATTCTGTATCTTGCAAAAATAGTTTAAGTAACAGGTAAACTATACATCTGTATATATTTTGTAGTTTAAATTCCGAAGAAGCCTTTTTGTGAATTTGAGATTCTCCTTTTAAGAATATTAGTAACATTTTAGTTTATTACGAATATGAAATATCTTATTTTTTATCATGTATTTAATATTTTGACCGAATTGTGACTTAGTCCCTTGTGTATTTTGTTATTTATCTTATCTTAGACCTGCGCAGGAATTAGCTTTCACAACAGGCCAGCTAGATAACAGATAGTCGATTTTACTGTCCAGCAAGTGCATTAAACTACATTTCTTTCGTCATGATTTGTCACTAAATTAATGGTATTACCGATCGGGACCACCACATTCCAATTTTCCCCCCCGCCTTTTTGCTATAGGACTATCAAACGTATATTTGCAACGAAGTTGAAAAAATTCGTCTTATAACTTTGCCACGTCTGTCTGTCTACATGTAACAGCTCAAGAACTAGAGAACGGATTTTCATGACGTTTTATTATTATTATTAAATTGGCAAGATTTATTAAAAAAAATTTTAGCATTCTATCTCCTTTTTCCTGAAAGTGCACAGGTACGGATTTCTCGTATAAAATCTTTGTCAGTGTGCTAGAAGCACATGAGTCCTCTGTCGTCTTCTGATAATATTGTTCCATTGCTGCAACTCGTGAAATGACAAAGATTTTTTTAAAATATTTTTCCCCCTCTAGTTTTATTTTGCCCTGAGGCATAGGAATCATGTATACCATCTTATTCACACGTGAAATACTTTTCTGAAACATTTCTATATCATTTCATAGACAGTTTTAGAATATTAAAGTGTGATACAAACAAGTAGATTGTAGTCTTGTTGATGCAGTACAGTGGTTACCAACGTTTCGTAGTAAGTTACGAACTCCACATCTGTAGTGAAATCTGAGGTGACGTGATCTTTTCAAACACTGGTGGAAACCTACACCACCGCATAAGCAGATTCTGTAAACAATGATCTTCTTTTTTAGGAGCTGGGATTGGCCATCACCGATGATCAGATTTCGGAGATGGAGTCTCACGTCTATGATGTTGATTTTGCAAAGGCAGCAGCTGAGGAGAAGCTGACACGTCATGATGTCATGGCCCATGTCCATGTGTTTGCAGCTCTCTGCCCTAAAGCTGCCCCCATAATTCACCTGGGTGTGACCTCCTGTTATGTGGGAGATAATACTGTGAGTTCCAGCTGCATTGTCTCGTGGTACAACGCTGATTATTAGAGATCTGTTTAACATTTGTTTATGTTTCAGGATCTGATAATTCTGCGTGATGGGTTTGACCTGCTGCTTCCCAAGCTGGCTGGCTGTATCCAGAGGCTGGCTCAGTTCGCAGACAAATACAAGAATTTACCAACTCTTGGTTTCACTCATCTGCAGTAAGTTTATATCCTCTAGTGTTCTTCGTGAACAGTAATTAATTTATTGTCTGTCTGATAACAGAACCTCGAGGTCTTGCCGTTGGATGTCCTGAACCACCTCCGTACTCACAACTTATTTCTGTAAGATTCTGATTTATATTATTCTCTTACCAATTATTTAGGCATATTCACATTCTTGCAGATCATGTGTTAAACTCGCTTTGACCAACGTAACATTTGAATGGTTAAGAAAATGTTTCAAGTAGTTTAAATTTTTATTTATATCAGACATTTTTCCCGACTGCTTTACATATGAGTATTTTCCTTATATAATTTTATTAATCAGTTGATTTTTGTAATGGTGTGTTTTCTTTGAGTACAAACTGAATTTTTATTGAGGAATTCTGGTTGCCGTTAACATCAGACAAATATCTGTTCTGCTGCTTTGCTTGTATGTTGTCATAAAACTATTAGTACTTTATTGTTTGAATGCAATAATTTTTAAGGTTTTCCCTTTTACTTCTCAAAATTCTATATGCATTTTTGGCTTCTCCTACCGAGCTACATGTCTAGTCCGTCGGAACTTCCCTTCATTTCATTACCGTGACCGTATGCATAAGTCATTTAGTTCCTCATTGTAGAACATCCAAAACTGTGCTTATGTCAGAATTATTTTCTGCCAACTTTGTTGAAAAGTGCTTGTATGATTTGTGGTGTACATTTCATTTCCTAACCATTTATGACCCACAGTTCAAGGGGCATTGTGAACCATCTTTTTAAAATGTGTTTTACCATAGCAAAGAATACATTTTCATGTCCACACAGCTTGTCTGTTTCCCATTTCTCTACAGACCTGCTCAGCTGACAACAGTTGGCAAGCGTGCATGTTTATGGCTTCAAGAATTGATGATGGATGAAAGGGCGCTACGTCGAGCCAGAGATGACCTGAGGTTCCGTGGTGTGAAGGGTACAACTGGCACTCAGGCATCATTCCTTCAACTGTTTAATGGTGACAGTTCTAAAGTTAAAGCACTTGATCAGCTTGTGACTAAGATGGCTGGTTTTCAGTGCTCCTTCATCATCTGCGGCCAGACGTATCCTCGTAAGGTGGATGTGGAGAGCATTGCTGTTCTCAGCAGCCTAGGAGCTACCGTCCACAAGGTAATTACACTCAGTGACGTTCAGAAAATGTATTTTATATATATAAAGATGGTGCTTAATATTTATTTGTGAATATATTTGTTTGTATGAGACTTTTGTTTTCGATGAACACGTTCTGCAGATTTGTTCAGACATCAGACTGCTAGCCAATATGAAGGAATTGGAGGAACCATTTGAAACTACACAAATTGGGTCTAGTGCAATGCCTTACAAACGCAACCCCATGCGCAGCGAGAGAGCATGTTCCATTGCTCGCCATCTTATGACTCTGCAAGGTAACACCATTCAAACCGCAGCCACCCAGTGGATGGAGCGTACACTCGATGACTCAGCAAACAGGTGTGTGGTTGAATATTTCAATATAAGGACGTGAAATTACTCTTTTTGTGGCCCATTTATGTTTTTTTTCCACTTGTTCTTGTATTCCTTTATAGCTGTTAAATAGGTTGCCTCTTTAAGGCTTCGGCAGATCGAAGTATGCTCTGAAACCCAGGACATAAAATTCCATGCCCTTGAAATTTGAAAACCTCAGAAATGTAGCATGGATTTGAGTCCTGAAACATGTAATCCATATATCATCAATGGTAATTTTGTAGGGGAAGATGGAAAGGGATGTTTGTTTTCACGAGCCTACCCCAAGAGAAGTAAGTAAATTGTTGAATTGCACAGTCTGATCTGTTCTAGGTGGAGCCTGTCTCCCAAGCAACTTCTTCTTCTATTGCTCTCTGGTCCGTATTTGGTCCATGGCCTCCTCAATTCTCCTCTTCCATTTGGTCCTATCCTCTGCTGCCTTCCGTCTGTCCGAGGCTTTGATTGAGGTTTTGAAACATCTTCCTTTTTACGGTGCAAGGTTGTTAGCCTTGCGACCAACCCCCAACCTGGAGGACCAGGGTAAGTAAAGTTTGTCCCACTATACGCCATGTAGGCGTTTGGGGTGAGTGGAGGTATAGCTCCTCTCTTCCTTGACCTCGGCACTAGATGGGGGTGAGTGGTCAGCATCACGCCCCGGCCGGCTTTACCCCCGGGAAAGGACCCCGGTACCTTAAGTCTGACCTCTCCCCCTCCACCAATCTTGCTACGGAGGCCCTACCAGTAGCTATGCTACCACCAGCATAGCTCTTGGGGTCACCGAGGTACTCAAGCCCCACCACCACGACAAGGTGCAGGTACAATTAAGTGGAGCTCCCTAGCAACTGTGTGTTTGATTTCCTGTCCTTCACAGATTTGCTAGTACTGCTAGCACCCTGTGATGTTATACAAAATTACTTGCTCACTGCAGGGTAATTTTGGGTTTCCATACTGTCAGGTTTCTTACTACTGAAGAGTACGTGTCCTTCGTTGGCCCTTCACTGTCCGCAGGTTTGCTGGTGTCTCCAATTCTTTAAGGTGGTGTGTCAGAACTCTTAGCAAAGAATACAAA